CCGCGCCCGTTTAGCCCCATCTATCCGGCCAAACAGAATCTACTTGGGCATGCGGTAGCTGGGCACACGGGCTACATGACCCAGCCAACGTTGCCTCGCTTTGCCGGAGGAGCTCACTGACGACACTGTGTCCGGATATTTTAAGGATGTGTCGGCCCCTCACACAATCCAGCTTGGTTAAATCTAGGATGGATCGTAGGCAGGTCAGCATGAATGTTTCAAACTGGCGCAGATGTCCCCTTGGATAGGTTCACGTTTTACAAGCATAGCGAAGGGAGGGCATGATTGTGGTCGAGAAGACCTGAAGCTTCGTGCGGAGCAACATGCCACGTAGCTTCCACCAGAGGTGTGGACTCGAGTCATGTGACTTGGACTCGAGTCAGACTCGAGTCATGAATTTGATGACTTCAGACTCGACTTGGACTTGCATAACAATGACTTTGTCCCACCTCTGAGGTGTGGACTCGAGTCATGTGACTTGGACTCGAGTCAGACTCGAGTCATGAATTTGATGACTTCAGACTCGACTTGGACTTGCATAACAATGACTTTGTCCCACCTCTGAGGTGTGGACTCGAGTCATGTGACTTGGACTCGAGTCAGACTCGAGTCATGAATTTGATGACTTCAGACTCGACTTGGACTTGCATAACAATGACTTTGTCCCACCTCTGAGGTGTGGACTCGAGTCATGTGACTTGGACTCGAGTCAGACTCGAGTCATGAATTTGATGACTTCAGACTCGACTTGGACTTGCATAACAATGACTTTGTCCCACCTCTGGCTTCCACACAGCGTCGTGCAGCAGATGTAAATATATTTGCCGCTCAACCGATTCTAAGAAGCCAGAGCTGGTCATAAACACGCTGCCCAGTGATGAGAACGCTCCCACCTTCTCCACAACTAGCCCCATCACTCAGGGAGAGTTGAAGGGGTGGAGTGTTTGATAACAGAACATATCTAGGCATGTGCTTTGTTTTGGTGGGACTGATGGTAAAGGACCATCTCCTCGTGGCATACGTCAAGTTCAGCAGCAGAATCTCCAATCCCTTCTCAGAGTGGACAGCAATTACCCGATCACCAGCACACACAACACGGTTGACCAAAAGGGAGCCAACCCTTGACCGCACCCGGACATCAATCTCGTGTGCCATTATATCTGTACCAGATGGGAATTCCTCGGGTACAGACATGGAAAGGTTCCCGTCCTAAATGGTCGACAAATATGTTGAATGATGTAGGAGCCAAAGGACATCCCTGTCGCACCCCAAGGTGAACAGAGAATGACTCTGATTTATGGCCACGCAGATGTTTTCGGGTCTGCCCATCATCATGAAAGCCCTGAATGATTGTGAGCAGAGGGTCAGGGACCCCCAAAAACCCAGATCCCAACTTATTGATGTGATCCTAGCCACCTGACCAGGTCAATAAAGCAGAGACGTTATAGGTCCTGTTGAAATTCCCGACACCTCTGCTGTAGTGGACGAAAACAGATGATGGCGTCTGCTGGACTGACCCAGCCTGAAACCACATTAGGGCTCCGCAAGCCTTTCCGTAGGCTTGGCTGGCAATAATCCTTGCCAGGACCTTTCCCGGCACACTCATTCACACACACGTCTGCCGACTCATCCGAGCTCCCACACGTGTTTGCGTGGGTTGTGTGCACCAAAATAGGTTATCGCTATTAGCACTTGCCCCAACCGAACTGCGAAGGCTACACAGGGGACCTTTGTATTTTGCTTTGCCGGCTTGGGTATGTGACGGACACGTGTATGTAATATACTGTACGTGGAATATAGGTACACATACAGTACAATATATACAAAGACGTTTCCCCGTATAGCCTTAACAGACTATAGGGGCAAGTGCTGTTAGCGAGCACCTATGAAGGCCGGCACGGCACACGAGGGGGTGGGTGGCCAGCATCACGCCCGACCGCCTTTGTCTCCCCAGTGGCGATGTTTTACACATCACACCGGGTACTCATTTGAGGCCGAGTCGACCTAGGGGGGAAGGCCGCCAAGGATCGGTTCAGACATTCGTCCACCAGTGTTGGCCGTGAGCCGGAATCGAACTTGGGTGGCCAGGTTCGCAGCGTTGTGTGATAACCACTCCACTCCACCACCGCACACAATGCCCACACACTCACACACACCCCAACCAACTTCGCCGGTTCGTAAATTCACAGTGGGCAGGTGGCAATGATTTTGAAACTGGGTATGCAAGTAGCCGATGGTCAGAATAAAGTATTTCTCTGCCGTACATATTTTGGGGGTTCACGTGTCTGTTATTAATTTCGCACACGCACCCACACACTCTCTCTTTACACACACACATTATGTACACCCAGTGAACACTTACCAACACACTGACACACGCACAACGTTATACAGTGATCCCTCGTTTATCGCGGTTAATGGGGACCGGAACCCCTCGCGATAGGTGAAGATCCGCGAAGTAGGATTGGCCCCCTAGGAATTTCTGTATATGTGTGTGTGGGTACCAGAATGTTTAAAATATGTATATTTATACTTAATATATATTTTACTTAAATTTATTTAATTATAAAACCTTAATATTATACATTCCTCTCTCTCTCTCATACGATACGTATTATGGTGTTCTACACTCTCCAATGACAGTAGTATCTTGAGACTGACTCCGGTAATGACGATGACGACGATGACGATGACAATGACGACGATGACAGACCTGTGCAGTTCGATGAATGTGATGATGAATGATGATGATGGTGTTACTGCACAGGTATAATGAGGCCTTTAAATCAGTTCGAAAAATCCGCGATGCACTGAGGCCGCGAAACTTGAACCGCGAAGTGGCGAGGGATCACTGTATACACACACGCATACATAATATATCCACATCGAGCGGGTACACCGATACAATGACACCCACCCACGTACCCTTGCTATACACACACACACCATATACATTGACTGCACACTTAAGAAACTCATACACTATTTTATATACCCAATAAAACTTCCCAACAAAACTAATACACACCGACCCACACCCATCACTCGCGTACACACGATGTTAAACTGTACTGTCAATAACAATAATTATAAACACATTTAAGTGACACACACACGTACTCTTCACACACACACAAAAACAAATATCCCCTGTGTAGCCTTTACAGACTGTTGAGGCAAGTGCTGTTGGCGAGCACCTATGATGGCCGTCACGGCACACGAGGGGGTGGGTGGTCAGCATCACGCCCGACCGCCTTTGTCTCCCCAGTGGCTATGTTTACACATCGCACTGGGTACTCATTTGAGGCGGAGTCGACCGAGCGGAGGCCCAGGACCGGTTCAGATAATCGTCACTGGTGTTGGCCGGGTTTGTAGAGCAGGGATTTGACCGCTACACTACCGCACCCCCACACAGCCACACTGACACACACACAGCCACACTCACACACAACCACACTGACACACACACAACCACACAATGACACACACACTCATACACACAACCACACTGACACACACACACAGCCACACTCACACACAACCACACTGACACACACAGCCACACTCACACACAACCACACTGACACACACAGCCACACTCACACACAACCACACTGACACACACACACAGCCACACTATGACACATACACTCACACACACAACCACACTATGACACATATACTCACACACACAACCACACTGACACCCCCACACAGCCACACAATGACACACACACTCATACACACAACCACACTGACACACACACACAGCCACACTCACACACAACCACACTGACACACACAGCCACACACACACAACCACACTGACACACACACAGCCACACAATGACACACACACACTCATACACACAACCACACTGACACACACACACAGCCACACTCACACACAACCACACTGACACACACAGCCACACTCACACACAACCACACTGACACACATACACAGCCACACTATGACACATACACTCACACACACAACCACACTATGAGACATACTCACACACACAATCACTGACACACAACCACACTGACACACACACACAGCCACACTCACACACACCACACTGACACACAGCCACACACACACAACCACACTGACACACACACAGCCACACAATGACACACACACTCATACACACAACCACACTGACACACACACACACAGCCACACTCACACACAACCACACTGACACACACAGCCACACTCACACACAACCACACTGACACACACACACAGCCACACTATGACACACACACAACCACACTGACACACACACTATGGCACACTATGACACACACACTCACACACACAACCACACTGACACACACACAGCCACACTATGACACACACACACAGCTACACTATGACACACACACGCACACACACAGCTACACTATGACACACACACACAACCACACTGACACACACACTATACCACACTATGACACACACACTCACACACACAACCACACTGACACACACACAGCCACACTATGATACACACACTTACACACACAGCCACACTATGACACTCACACACACAGCTACACTATGACACACACACTCACACACACAGCCACACTCCGACACACGCACTCACACACACAGCCACCAGAGGTGGGACAAAGTCATTGTTATGCAAGTCCAAGTCGAGTCTGAAGTCATCAAATTCATGACTCGAGTCTGACTCGAGTCCAAGTCACATGACTCGAGTCCACACCTCTGACAGCCACACTCCGACACACACGCACTCACACACGCAGCAGCAGCAACTGAGCCAGAAAGAGCACCACCACACCACACACACACGTGTGTGGTGTGGTGGTGCTGCGCACGGGTGCAGAGAGCGAACGAACGCGAGAGAGAGAGAGGCAAAACGAAAGAGAGAGAGAGTAGTGGGGGGAGCAGGGGAGAGGGAGTGGAGAGAGAGGGGGGGGAGAGGGCTAATCTGCAGTTGAAGCAAAGCCTTATGGGATTACATCAGCCTCTTGTTCCACAGCCAGTAAGGAAGGATGTAAGAGGGAGGGATTGTTTAAGTGATGTTTTTCACTGCTTAACTTTTTTTTTAATTCCACCACCTCCCCCGCCAATCCCTGCGGACCGGCACACAGAGTTTGTAGGCGGAAGGTCTCTCTGTCTGCTGCTCTCTCAGTCTTGCCATCACCACCATCACCACTAGCAGCAGCGGCAATAGCTTACACACACAGTGGGGTTAGGGAGGGGGGTGGTCGTGAAAGTATATGGTGTTTCAAAAAACGAAGGCATATTCCAAGTAGGAGGACATCAAACTGTGGCGGACTGCATCGGTGGTTTCATGTTGGCTACAAAGTTTTGGGATCAAATTGTTGTTGTTTGCTGCGTGTGTTGTTTTAACTACGAGAAGATCGTATATACAACAACAACCAAAACAAACACACCCCCCCCTCCCCCCATCGCGAGAAGAAGACGTGACTTTGATTCTCCACCAAACTAAGGTGAGTTCGACCCGTGCGGTTTTTTTAATGTCTTTTTGATGCGATGATGGTTGTTGCGTGGTTTGTGTGGTTGTCATCTCGCTTAACAGCAACTTTGCACCAACAAGTGAGATGCACGTGTATTTTTGAAAACCTTTAAATATTACAACTGCATTGTTGGAACGCTGATTATAGCGGGTGTTCGTTGACTAGAGATCACCGCTTGTTGTGGTAACTTCTCAAAGACCGATAAGAGATTCTCTCTCTCACCCGCCACCGATTGAAGATTGTTTATCAGCCATACAGACTCACCGGTGCTGTTATCTTTTAAGCGTAGTAACAGTTTGCACGCGTTTAAAGCCGGCTGTTGGTTTACACACACGCGCGCACTTGATGCAAAATTTTGACAATCCATAACTAATGTCGAATTTTGTAACGAAATCAAAAGTTGTAGGCGATTGTGTCTGGACCTGTCGTGTAAAATTCCACACGTTAATCTTCGTCGTCAGCCAGTGTCTATCCACTGCTGGACGAATAAGGGCTTTCCTCCGCACGTGACGAATGCATACATGATAAATGCCATCATGACCTTTTTATAAACTGCGACACTTTAAAAAGTCGGGAAACTTGTCCTGCAGGAAAATCAACCGTGTCTATATCGCGCGTGTGTGTGTGTGCGCGCAGACACACACACACAAGGTGTAGTTTAGAAAGTTTGTCGAGTGGGACCGTCTGTAGGCACGCAGAAAATACCGTGTTCAGATTGTATAATTCCACCTCCGACACGTACATTATTTAAGCAAATAAGGCCATTTACGTAAGGATAAGCTGTTGGAAGAAAACTAAACCTGTCATTCGGGTTATGACTTTTTTTTAATCGCGTACAGTACAAGCAGTCGGATAGAAGGAACAACTTGCGCCTGCCATAAGGAATGTGGAATTTCCACCTTCCTGGCTCGTGGAGATGAACGCAGTGTCTCACTTCCACAGCGTGGAGACACCTTTTAATCGCATATTTTCGCAACGTTTTGACTCCCCTTTCCACAAGTTCCAGATGGTTGAGCGAGTCATGCCAGTGTGATACGTTATTGCGATTTAACATACAAGAAGACACTTCTCCCTGGGGACTTATAAATGCACGTATAGAAATAACAAAACGAGACTATCCTAAACCGTGACATGTATCACGCAGCACTCGTATTTGGGAATGGGAGCGGTGGTGGTATTACGGTGGTGGCATTACGGTGAGCGCACTTGCGCTGTGAATAATGTGGCGGCCTCAGTTCGATACCTGGCCACGACTAACATCAGTGGGTGATCTTCTTGGGTCTTTCGGTAAAGTCACGTAGAATGGAAATAATAAAAAAATTAAAAAATGAAACATAATAAAATTATTCTCACGAAGTTTCGGCCACAACGCAAGCAGCCGTCTTCAGGTGAAGAACAGATCTGTGGGAAAAAGGTTTTTCCGACAGATCTGTTCTTGATAAATGCCATGTATCGAACTCAGGTTTTTCCGACAGACCTGTTCTTCACCTGAGGACGGCTGCTTGCGTTGTGGCCGAAACGTCGTGAGAATTATTTTATAAAGTTTTATTTTTATTCTTTTATTATTTCCCTTCTACGTGACTTTACCGAAAGAACCAAGAAGATGAATCCCTGTAGTCACGAAAGCTTAAATCGAAATTTAAATCAGTGGGTGAGTGACATCTGGATCAGTCCTTCACCAACCCCGCTCTGACGGGCGTGGTGAAGTATGGTCAAACAACCGTCGTGATTGATACAGTTTCGGGTCTAGGGCTTTACATTAAACCAGGATATGCAATGCATCTCGAAATGTTTCGTCAAATTAACTTAAGACTTCAAACCATTTATAATACTTAAAAAAGATATAGTCTTCCATACAAAGTTGAGTTCTGTGTGTGTGTGCGTCATTATACATCTTGTATTCTCTCATTCTGTTTTAATATTTATTTTAAACCGTGGGGTCGGGGGGTGTCACATTATTTTGGCTAAAACTGATAGCTGTGGGTCGGCCACGAAACACTTTAATACGCTTACACTAATAGCTGCTTTCTTTGTTGATTTTAAAAGATGCCAGGGGGTACCCCCCACGGCTGCGAAGTTCCGTCTCGTTGCTACCACTCTTTGCGTCGCTCTGATCGTGTGATAAAGTGTTGCAGTGTTGCACTGAAGCCTGGTCAATCCACTGCTGGATGAGCGCCTGCCCGAACCGTGCCCGTTGTTGGCGCCTGGTGGTTTATTCGACCATACTTCACCACTCCGGTCACTGTTGGTTTGGTAAAGTTGGGCGTGGAGGCGGGGGGGTTATCCTTCTGATTAAGACGTCACTCCTAGCCACTGATGTTAGCCGTGGCCTGGCATCGAACTCAGGTTTCCGGGTTCTTAGCGCCCTGCGGCGTAATGCCGCTTGCATCCAAACACGCAGATACAGTACAGCGTTGCTCATTTGCATAGTCAACATTCTTATGTAAACAGAATACGATGTCAAACTTTATTAGGTAATAAGAAAATTATCTCGTGAGAATGGTGAGAATTCATGGGTTCCAATCCAAACATTCTCATCACATTGCTGAGACCAACTCGCAGTCCGGGTCGGGTTGACTCAGCCTGTCACCGAACTGCGGGGGATGGGGGGGGGATAAAACAAGTACCAGCCTTTTGGAAATCAGCCGTATCGTGTGGACGGAGTACTCGCTCGGTCCTGCCCCACCGGTGTAGCTATATCAAGTGTGAAGGCGGTGCACAGGGCACGAGGCTATGAAGACGTTGGGGGGTGAGGGAGGGGGGCAATTTCCAAACTAAAAACGTGTTTTATTTGACTAGGTAAGGCCCCCCTACTGAGCTATATAGCTCGTTTTGCAGAAGCGACCTGGCCACCACAAATAATAGCCCAACTAGAAGTGGCTTATCGTGTGGAAATGTATAGCAGCCAAATACTCTAAACGCATGTTTCTAAATGTGAAGGGGAAAACAAAGGAGGACCACAGGGAGAGAGACATGCCAACTCCAAATATACAGCAGGTGTCGGGGTCCGGATCGAACCCACGACTTCCTGTATACCAGGCGAGGTAGTTAACATCTCGCCACCACGGCGCCCTGGTACAAGGAATTTAATTCATTGAACCAGGACCCATGCCATCCGTGCTACTGCGCCCACTGCCCTTGCCATAGGGATGTGGAATTTTCACCACTGCAGCAGGGCTTGAGGTCGTAGGGTGGTACACCGCTCCCAGGCGAGTGGGGAAACGACTTTGGTGTGTATTCTTGGTTCTTTCGGTAAAGTCACGTAGAAGGGAAATAATAAAATAATAAAAAGAAAACATAAAATAATACAATTCTCACGACGTTTCGGCCAGCTGTCGGAAAGACAGCTCTGTTTCTTCACCTGAGGACGGCTGCTTGCGTTGTGGCCGAAACGTTGTGACAATTTTATATTATTACGTTATATTAGTATTATTTTATTATTTCCATTCTACGTGACTTTACCGAAAGAACCAATAATATGAATCCCTGCAGTCACGAAAGCTTTAAATCACTTTGGCGTGGTTTGTCGAAATGAGAAGACGCTGCACAATAAATGTATCGGGGTCTCAACATCTCTGCAAACTGCAGAGGGCGCAGATGCCCTCCCCTCCCCTCTTAAATCAACTTCTGGATGATGACCTCACCACGTAGTTGTCGGTCACGGGGGTTGTTTGACCATACTTCACCACGCTGGTCGGTGCGGGTTGGCGAAGGGCTCGGATGCGCAGTTCCGGTTCAGATACCAACCCGGCCGCCGATGTGAGTCGTGCTCGGGTCGTCGGGTTCGTAGAACGATGCGCTAACCGCTGCGCCACCGCTCCACCATGCCACCTTTGTAATCCCAAGAACAAACTCAGACTCAATGTCAAAGTTGTTTTTAGTCTAGCAAGCGTGGGCTGCTGCTCTTGTGTTTTCTCTTGTGTTTACAGCACTGAGGCAGTGTTGTTAATTCCACATCCATACAAGACTGTTGAGCTTTTCCCACAAAGTGGTACTCGTTTTATCGACCCCGAAATGTAATGATGAGCTGATATGACCCAAAATTCGTATTTTAAACCTTAAACTTGACAAATCATGGACTATGAACTCCTGTGTCACTTGATCAGATAGTTGTGATAATGTGTTTTGAAGAAGTTGCTGCTAGTCCGCAATATTATGTTCGATATTATACATTTACTTTTTCAGAATCAGAACATTAATTTATAGTGGAGGAATCCGATGAGCTATGAAGCTCTTTTTTTACCCACAGATGTCCAGTCGGGGTGTCTCAGAACATTACAGCAACAAACAGTACAACACACGACAGCAGTGCAGAGTATAGGAAGGTTAAACCAATCTCTTGAAAATAATACACAAACACAACTAAACAAATGATTTTCTTTATCTCACCAGGTAAAGCCCCCTGAGCTAATTAACTAATTTTTCGGGAGCAACTCGGCCACAAATAATAGCTCAACAAAGTGGCTTATGACGTCGGCATTTATAGCAGCCAAATCATCAAAATAATCTCGACAGCATTTTTCTAAATAAGAATGTGTTGATATTTTTTTAGGATGCTAGCGGCAGATACAGTACATTAAGTGTTTGGAAAGTGCATCACAATCTAAAAAAAATCAGATACATAGGAAATACCTGCTGTCATTTCTAACAGGGACCGCGTGTGATGCAGTCGTTGGTGCAATACGTTACAAAGCTGCCCACCCGAGTTCAATTCCTGGCCATGGCTGAACACGAGTGGCCATCGATATCCGAATCGATTTACCAATCCCGCACTTAACCGGGGTGGTGAAGTATGGTCAAATAAGCCATGTGACAAGGTGTAGAGGTGTGTGTGTGTGTGCGGCCTTCATACGGCAGTGCAATGAGAAAGGGGGGAGGGCAGTTAATCAATTCAGTCGTACGACGCGCTCGCAGTTGACAATTGTGTAACTTTGGAGGCTGTGTAAGGGGCCGTCCATAAATGACGTCACGCA